ATTGGATGCATAGTCTTCTTTAAATTTAATGTGGTCTCTGAGGGTGGTCAATATTCATTACTTTTGACTAAAAGGCAATATTTAAGTGAATGACAAAAGTGGTGGTTAATTGATAAACTTGGAAGTGTAGACACATATGGAGGTCATTCAGGATCTGAATGTTCTTCAGGATGTTCTGACATAACTGGGGTTCAAAAACTTCTGCTGTAAATGGTGTTGCGCATATCAGCTTGAAAACTTCCCCCTTTTAAGAGTTGGTGAAACAAGTTTGCAAAAATCTTGTGATCTGGAATGTGTTGGTTGGGGGAAGCCCTTTCAGTGAAATCTTTGCACATTCCTGTTATTATCATCATTGACATGTCATACACAAAATGCATATGTACTTTCTTCACTTTCATATACTGATCCATTCCCAATTGCTGTTGCGTTTACATCCACTTTTGTAAGCATGCCTGACTACATTCTAACCTTTGCACTTATGGTAATACATTTTGTAGTGGAAAGTATTTGTTTTGGTGTGTTCTATCACCCTTTAACATTTGTTGCATTGATGAGTTGCTATAATATTATTCTGTTAGGAACGAACCTCATGTGGAGATATTTATATTAATTTAATAAAAAAAAGGTGTTTATTCAAGACATTAACTGTGCATTTTCCCCATGGATTGCTTGAGCTTGATACTTGTGACAAATATTCGCTATATGTGAAATGGCTATAACTTAGGTATTGCCAGGACATTGAATGATATTTTTCATAATGACCAGAACCTGACAGTATACTATTAATAGTACTGCCATTGCCAGCTTGCCACTATATTTTTAAGAAAGTAGAATCATGAATGATATTCTAGGATTGTTGTAGTGCTCACAAGAAAACAGAATCATAAATGGTATAGTTAGTGGTATATGGCCAAGTGTACTTGTTAAATCACTTAAGCTTCATCAATGTGTTAAAAACATTTTCAACTCTGAGAAAAACATCTTTCCCTTCTAATATTTTATAAAATGCATTAATGTTAATTAAAATAATCAGAGTTTTTATCTGTTATTGTGTGTATAGCTTATCAACACTTGTTTAGACATTATTTTTTATGAAATCAGTATAAAAATTCTGTCAAAGTGAATCGATATTTCATTTAACATATATTTTTAATTTTTTGTAGCCATAGTATCCCGTCAGTTTGTGGAGATGACCCGAGCTCGTATTGAAGGTCTCTTGGCTGCTTTTCCGAAGCTACTGAGTTCTGGCCGTCAACATACTTTTGTTGAAACTGAAAGTGTACGTTATGTGTATCAACCCATGGAAAAGCTGTATACTTTGTTGATTACGACCAAAGCTAGCAATATTCTTGAGGATCTGGAAACACTGCGTCTTTTTACAAGAGTAGTAAGTATTAATATATATGAAACTTAAGTCTTTTTGATTGAAAGTAGGCATTTTTTTTATTAAATTTATGGTAGTTTATAAAGTTATTTTGATTCCTACTAATTATTACTTATTAACTCCTATCTTAGCCAAACTTAGAGATTGCTCAGATAGTTTATTTACTGCCAAATAACTTGCTAACATTTTTACTGCCATTTTCTCAGTTTTGTGTAGATTGAATGTTCATATTTGCTAATGTTTGACCTGTGCATATGATAACTGTTACATTGGTAAAATACTTTTTAAAAGTAGGAGAAGATTGATAAAGTACTCTATCAAGCATTTTATAAAAAATGTAACAGGAAACATATTCATTTGTGACCAAAACAGTAGGCGGCGGAGTGAAATGATGGAATGAAACTGAAATTAATTTTTAATAAATTTAAAAAATATATACTTACTGCTTCACTTATGAATTGTTTGGAGAAATGTGTGGTTGCATATATATATTATATCTTTCTTAAACCTTAACTGCAGAGTAACTTTGTGAATTATAACTGTAATATACTATCTATGCTGGGTCTGAAACTGTTTATTCTAAAGGGCAGGGATTATCTAATTTACTAGTTTCAATGATCTTGGTCAAGTCTATGGTCTTTAAGTGTGACATATACAATTATAAGTAAGACAGTTGATCCTTGCCTTCATCCTTTGAAGGCACTCCAAATAAACGATTAAAATAACCATCTAGAAAATAGCACAGATAGCTGGAACATAATGAAAGAAAATGCAGAGGCAAAGAAAAAATTAGAATACTGAAATAAAAACAGAGAAAATATTTATACATGTTACCAACCGCAGTGGAAAGCAGTAAATTCTTTGAAGATTTTAGGAATGATTCAAATGTCATTGAATAAATAAGTATGAATACTCTTGTAAAATGCCAAAATAATGCTGTAAAATATATACAGTCAAAAGTCGTTAATTCGGACACCCATAATCCGGAATGATCTATAATCCGGACCTCAAAGCTACAAACTTTCTGCGCATGTGTCGCATTCACGCATGCGTTTACGAGAGCGCATAAGACCCTTACAGCTGCGAATATGTTTGTGCGCATGCGCGTTTAATGTGTGACGGAGTTATACGCTAAGCTAAAGTTATCTAATTCAGTTAATGTTGCAGATTGCGTTGTTCCTTAATCTTCGAATTGGATCCGGCTTATTATTTTTTGCAGACTGTTAGAGCAATTTTATAAAAGTAAGCTTGAACTTTCGATTATGACAAATAGAATTTCCGATATATATTTACTACAAAGCGAAAGTATGTTTTGAAATCCGAAATCTGTTTATCAATTTCACGCTGCTCTGCGGCAGAGGGGGGGGGGCAGAAACGTCATTATTAGATTATGATAGATTAGAAAGATTATGTCAAATAGAATTTCCGATATATATTTACTAATATGTAATTTGTATCTACAAAGCGAAAGTATGTTTTGAAATCCGAAATCTGTTTATCAATTTCACGCTGCGGATTGGAAGTTGATCTGTCAGCACTATCCTTATCTTCAGAGCAGATGTTTTTATTTTATTTGGTTATAATTCCGTACTAAGTGTAGTATTTCATCTCGATATACTCCGTCTTTGATATGATTTAAATCAAGTTCCTCGTCATTATAATTCGCTTCGATAGTGAAGAAAGTGACCCAGAGGTTATTGAAAACGAAAATTTCGATTGACAAATTAGTCGGTATTCTCAACACAGCAATTATAGGACTTGAACAGCGGAACTTTGTAAACTAAACAAGAAATTATGTCTGTTTAATAGAATTAAAGAGAAAGTATTATCACATGAAACGAAGCAACTTACATTGAAGGAAATGTTTAATAAAGTAAACAAATAAATATTAAGCTTTTTCTTTTTGTAAATTTTGATACCCTTTAGATCATAATTGTTCTTTATTTCATAAATTATGGTTTCATATTTTTAATTTTGTAATTTCTGCATGCCATCTTACCAGATTTAAACTGATGATCTATAATCCGGAAAAATCGATAATCCGGAATCGCCGAAGTCCCGACGAGTCCGGATTAACGACTTTTGACTGTATAATGCATTGGAACCACTTATTATGCTATGTAAGCATCTTTTGTGGATAAAATCACTAAATAGTGGTAGTTTAATCTGTATTCAAATCCTCGCGAATGCACTGTCCGCATGGACATTATTAGGATTTCTCCATCTGTAATGAGAATACAAGTCAATTTATTATAGAAAGCCCTTCATGAGCACATCCCTACCCTTAGACAGAGATGTATATCTAAGAGAAGGGATGTGCTTTGCCATTCAACTAAACCAGTTAAATATAATAATTTGCAATATGACAAATATGCATATTAAAAAAAATGTGAAAAAGTACGTAAATAGGATTTTCAAAACTTGAATTCAGCACAATTGCTACTGTTGTTATACTGTAATTAATTATTTCTAACTTAAGGCTATTTAAAAATTTGAAATTAAAAAAATGAAAACTAAACTAACAATTTTAAACTAAAAAATATCATTACTGTGAAATAAAGTGTCAACAACTTTGACTAAGAGTGACAGTTTACTGTAAATATTAGAATCAAAAGTGATAGAAGACCAAATTAAAATATGAGAAATTATGTTTCGTAATGCAGTTTAATATAATATAATAATAGTTTAATATAACAACACAGTTTAAAACTTATTTCTTGGAAAATCTTCAAGAGGTGGTAAGTAAGAAACTGATTCTTTCACACTGGTTCACAAAATGTATGTTTTATTCTCCTTAACCTATCACATGCCTTTCTAATTAAAATCAAATTTAATATAAAATATGCACATTCCTCTCATAATTTTAGACCACTTCTACGTATTTTTAGGTGCCAACATAAATATAAAAATGAAAAAGAATCATGTAAACCAAAATGGCACTATTGACATGAAAAATACTTTAAAGAAAAAGGAATTTATATTTAATATGAAATATTAAATAAACTAAATTTATAGAAATATTAAATACAACTAAAGAACTTAAAACAGCTGTAAAATTAATTTTAGTGACAAATTTATTCAGCGTATCAAAAATATGTAAAAATGTGCCTAAAAAAATTTTAATGTTTACTATTTCCATCTCACACTAAGAGTATGTTTCTGTGTCAAAATCCAAAGTTAGTTTGGTTGGCCTGAAATAGTCAGAAGGGTTGCTATTGACTACTAAAAATCTCACTAACTGGGCTACAAAGAAAACATTATCTTCCAAAAATATAAAAGAATTAAAAAGGTAATGTAGGATAGTTATAAATTTTTTCGTGCAAATTGGCTATTCTGCAATTAATGAGCAAAAAACTGTCTGGCAGTAGTAGTAAAGGTGTCAAATATTAATTTACAGTTTTTACAAATATACAAGATTTTTATATGTACTTAAAATATTTGCTGCCAATAGCCTGTACGTTCCTATCAGGTTTAAGATACGGCATTATGCGCAGCTGAATTTTAGAGTGTGAGGTGTTGAAAAACATTTTTTAATAAAATAATTGGGAATTTTATTGTTTTAAATTTTCATAAGTATTAAAATTCTCTTGAATGTGCACGTCAGAAAATTTGTGATTCTAAGAATTTTATTAATTTTGATTTATTAAAATTGCATGACTTTTGGTTGATGTGGTGGATTTTCAAATATTAGTCTAAAGTGTGAAAATCTTCTTTGTCAAAAAGTTTTACTCATTAGAATAGTAATATTAATTTAAATAGCCATTGACAAATCTGTAGGATAAGAAGGTATATAGTACTGTTTAATTAAATAAACAATAATTTAAAAAAATTTTACAAGGGAAAACAATGCACGTATTCATTTAATACAAGTCTGTAAACCAGTGTGCAATGCAGTGTTGTATAAGCTGAATTTGGCAATTCCTTATGTTTTTTTACGAAAACAAATTGCTGCAAATACATGAGAAGAATTCAGAAAAAAAAAAAAAAAAAAAAAAATCTTGAAAAAGGTATTTTATTATTGATATGTCGTCTTTTTTTTTTTTTTTTTATTGTATTGATTGCTCTTGTATTGAATTCTTAGTGCATCACCATTTTCAAAATGGCTGTTGCCTTTTAGTTAAAAAAAAAAAAAAAAAAGTTGACTATAAGTTTGAGAATGCTCGCCAATGAGTTTGATATTTTGGTGGGGATGTGGATAATCAGGAAGTACTGTAAAAACATTAACTGTTTGGGACAAACATGATAGTTTATAAAAATAAATAGTTTGTAAATTGGAAATACGTAAGAATAAATGCCTATTATCATTAAATGTTGTTCTTGACTTCCAGTCGTACCATATGAACTGACATTTTATTATATTGTTTCAATTTTTGCTCAATATTGGGGTTGTTTAACGTAGTATATGTTAATTTTGCTTGATAAGCTGTTTAATTTATTCATTATTTGGTAAATTATTTACTAGGCATCGAAAAACTCAGAGACCCAATAAAATTGATGATTGCTTTTTTACTTTATGCAGTTTTGGGGTGCAAAACATTTAATAGAAAAACTGTTTTTTAAATCTGCGTTAAACCTATATATTTAAATGTATTTTTACAATTTTATACCTTTGTTATTGGTACAGTTCGATTGTGTACTAAATTTTACTTTTTTCAAGCTATATCAAGAATGCACTGTTGTGCTGGAGTTCCCCCAATTTCTTCATTGTGTTAAGAGTGGAAATGTACTCTAAGAATATATTATACAGGTTTACTTATGTATTGGTATTTTCATTTCTGTTATAATGTTTCAACACTTATTTTTTAATTGACAGATGCAGGTTTGCTTGTGTATTGGTATTTTCATTTCTGTTATAATGTTTTAATTAACAGATTCCCGAGTACTGTAAATTTATGGATGAACAAGATATTATTAACAACTCATTCAACTTGATCTTCGCATTTGATGAAATTGTTGCCCTTGGTTACAGAGAAAATGTGAACTTAGCTCAAATTAGAACTTTTGTGGAAATGGATTCACATGAGGAGAAAGTTTATCAAGCTGTTCGACAGGTATTTTTATGTGTCTTAGTGATACTAATTACTGCTGCCTTTCAGCAATATAAGCTGCTATTCTTTTATGAATAATAAAAACTAAACAAACATTTTTCTTTCGTTAAGGCATATTATTAAGCATGTAAAAACAGGAGATCTTAAAATTTTATTTTAATATGCATGCATGTACTGGAAGTCATATGAAAGGTGTCACACTTATTCTTTAAATGAAAGGAAAAAGCTGCATTTTTTTTTTTTTTTTTACAAAGGGATTTGAGTCCTGAAGTACTATTACTTTCGTTTGGGCATTTTGCATCGGACTCCTATAAATGTCGGTTCACTTTTCAAACTGTTACCACATAATGTTAGAGTCCTGCATTATATTTGAAGAATTAAATAATGAAAAATCTGCATAAATGTATGTATATTTCTCGCATTGTGATAAAACAACGGTATCTAGAGCCATCCAATTTTGAATGATGTAATCCTACTGCGAATATGGGCATCTGAAATCCCAAATTTGAAATTTGTTATTTATTTTATTATCGATTTCATATTTTGTAAAACTTAAATGATTTTTTTTAGTAACAAACTCAGCGATTTAAAAGCGAGCAATGGCAACACTCTACGGAGGAAAAGAGACCTTTTTATCTCCAGCGCGTCGAACTGTGTATCGAAAATTTTCTAAGGATATGCTCATTTTAAATTATTTTGCGACATTGCTATTGAACTGAATTTTATGGTTTAAGTGCAAGAACATGATATTTAATAAATAAAGGTAACACATAAAACGTTAAAAAAAAGCCCCTTCATAAGCCTAAAAAAAGTTTTAAAAAAATTTTATAAGTCATTTTTGATTGTATTTCCTCTATGTGAGTTATATGCCATTTATCAGAGATAATCATTCTTAGAAAATTGAGTGTTTTAAGTGTTTCTGTTATAACCAAAGTGGAAGCTTTGATGGGTGTCAAAAATGCTTGCAAATAGTGGCAGCTTTGTTAAGAATAATAGCATTCCTCTCATGCATTCTTGGGGTTAGCATATCCAAATAGCAGTAGAAGATCTGTAGTTCAGTTCATGGTAGGAAGCTGTTGTTTTTTCTGCATCTCTCTCTGAAAAGTCTGATAATTTCTACAATTTGTCAATAAATAGTTATCTTTATGTTGCAGTTGCATGCTTATTCTTTTGGAGATTGATTCGTACATTCAGTGTTGCATGCTATTCTAAAAAATTCAATAACCCAAATCCTAACAGAAGCCATAGAAACTTAAATCCAGAGAAAGCCCAACTCAGCAATGGTGGCAAAAAGAGGCAAGAGAAGGTGCACACCATTTGTAATCTCTGTAATGAATTGGACAGGTGTGCACAAAACTTCCAATTTTACAGAACACAGCATAGTTATAAAGTGTGAATTAGTTTATTGGTTTTGATGTGCTTTGTCTTCATTATGTTAAGCTCAGAATAAATTTTCTTGTATTTGAATCATGATCTCTTTAGTTTTCTTATGTAGTACAAAGTCCGAGATCCAGACTCATCGGGACTTTGGCGATTCTGGATTTGGGATTTTTCCAGATATAGATCATCAGTTAAAACTAGTGAGATGGCATTTTTAATTCTTTTTGTAGACACAAGAGAAAGAGGCTAGGCAGAAGATGAAAGAAAAGGCAAGGGAACTGCAGCGTGCAAAACAAGAAGCAACTAAAAAAAATCGTAGTCCGGGCTTTGGATCCAGTAGTAGCTACGGTTATCCACCTTCACCAGTTGTTGGAGATACGGCTCCAGTTGTACCTGACACTCAACCAAAGCAGGCTTATTCTGCTCCTAGGTAATTATATTTATAATAATGCTTGAAAAGAATTATTTTATTGTTATTATTATATAGGTAATCAAATATAATATGGGCTGTTAGATTTCCTGAATAGTGATTTCTACATCAGAGTGAATTAGGATGTTCTTACAGTCATATGTTACTCTGCAATAGAAGCTGTATTTTGTCAGTCAAATGTAGAGATACTGAAATTGATCTATAAGCAAACAATGTTTTAATTTGTAGAACAAGAGTTGTTAGTTTTTAGAGAAGATGAAAATTGCAAACTTCTGAATTTTGGCCAGGCACTGTGAACAATGTCTGTCATGTATAGGTAGATGAATCTTCCTATTATATCCTTTTTACAATTCAGATATAGGTTCCATCAAAACTGTTATATCATTCCATTCTTTTGAGACATATTTGAATGTTTTGATATTATGAAGACTGAAGTACTAAATTAAAGATCTAGAAATGAATTAATGTTCTAAAATTCCAATAATTTGCACTCTTTGGGACATGAACTAGTGAATTTTGTTGATTATAGGTTATCTTTCTTGGTTTTGTTTCCATTTTTCTTTTTCTAATTTTTACATAAAATTTGAATTGTTTTCACATGAACAACTAACTAAAATATATCTTAAGAATTATTTAATCAAGATAACATAAAATTATTATATTTTAAAAAAGGAACTACTATGATTAACATAATGAGTGATGTCAGCCAGTAATAAGGAGAAAGCATGGCAGAAAGAGCATAAGAGCATAATAGGGAAATGTTTTTAAGAGTGAAGAAATCTTTTTATAAAATTGCATTAATTTTTTTAAATTGTCTATTTAAAAATTTCAAAGTAATTTGCACACTCTTAAGTGAATGGAAAAAAAAGTATAGTTTTCAAAACTGTAATAATGAAGATTTCCCTGTACAGAATAACTCTACGTTTTGTGTCTTTCCTGTTTATTAAAAGAAAGTTTCTGTATTTTTTAAATCTTCTTGTTAATATAGTGTCCATTTAAAGTCTGATACAGTAGCTGTTTTTTAAGAATTGTTTCTTCTTTGCTGCCCGTATAATCATGCTTGTTTCTTGCTTGAGATATAAACAAACCTGTTAATAAGATGCTACAGAACTCAAAATTTGAAAAGCTTTGAATGAATATATTCTTTATTCATATTAACCACATAAACTCGGAAATAATTTTAAAAGACAACAGAATGTACATCCAATAATAATGTTTTATCTAAATCTAATTTCATCAAAATTCTCTTGTTATTGCTAATACTTTTAGTGAAAGTTACAGTATTTCTTGCAGAAATTGAATTCCAACTAAGGGGGGGGGACAAGTGGGACTCTGAAAAGGTTTATCTTTGCTTTCATCAAAATGAAGTGGTTATTTCTGTCACTGACAAGATTGCGATCATGGAGGAAAATTCCAGAAACATATATAAAATTTAAATTGGAGGATGAATTAGTTATGAGCAATAATTTTGCTTTCAAAAAGTGAAAGCTGTAATTTTAATATCAACAGTGAAACACTGTAAACAATTTCCCCCTTCTTTCTATTTGTATACTTTAGTATAAGCATTTAATTGTTTAAATATTTTAGTATAAAACTTAATGCTATTTCTTGTGATTCATTTTTAAATGAACTTTGCTTCTAATTTAAGGAATTTACAAGTTATGATTTGTTTATAGCAATTGTCATGGATTCAATATAGCAGCAATAATCAAAATAGGTAAAGTGGCAGTAAAAATGAATTAGGCTCAGTGTTCATTGCAAGTATGGAAAAACAAAATTTAAGCAATGTTTTAAAATAAAATATGTTTAATTGTATGAAATTCTTCATATTAAAGATTCCTTAATGAAGTCATTCTAATATTTTTAAGCACATTTTGGTGCTTAAATCAGTATCATGCATTTATCATTCTAGGCGAATGATATTTCTTGAAATATTGTATTGCTCCAAAACAGTGACTGTCAATCCATAGGTCACCACTGACCATCAGTTTAATTCCATTCTGAAAATGCATTTGAATTTATTGCATTGTCTCACATTAGTGACTATGTGTCACTCCTTAAATCACTAGTGACTAATTGTTTTGACAGGCTCTAGTGGCCTCCAATTTAACTTAATTAAAAAAACTCCATCTACATTTACCTAAATTCCCAACATGAGTGATTTATCATTAACCTCCAGTGAACATCAACTTGTAGATCATTGGTGACTATTTGTCTTGACAGTCATTTAACTGCCACACTGGTGACAATCCTTTGGTGTTAATTTTATGTTAGAAAATCTGCCTAAATATAGTGTACTGATGAGGACTTGACTGCTAGTGATGGTAACCCTAAAAGTCACTGGTGACTGAATTGCCTTGGAGGATGTTGGTGTTCAATTTAATTTGTTTTTTAAAACTATCTAAATTTACTGCACCACCCTATGCTCATGATCTATAGATTGACTGTCAGTGCCTTTTAACCTGTGGATCAGGGGTTCTTAATTAGTGGTATGCAAGAGAAAAATAGGTAGTAAGCAAAGTATTTTTAACTATTAAATTCAAAAAGTAAAACCTCAACATCCTGATTGAGTGTTTTCTCTAACAATCGTAAATTTATGCGATCTGGGCTTTGTTCAAGAGTAGTGGTGGTACTACAGGTTTTCAGTTTTTGTTTAGATGGTACGCTTTAGTCAAAAGGTTGACAACCGCTGCTGTAGCTCATTAATGACCAGAGCTAAAATGCTTAAATCTGTGTAAATTTACCCCTTAACCTTTCACCGGTGACTGTCAACCTATGGGTCAAATGATAATCATTGAAGGTTACCTTTGGTTTAATTTTATAATAAGAGTGTGTTTGGTGCAAAGCAGTTGATGGTCTATTTGATTATTCATCAATCTTTTTGTACAAATGAATACTCTGCAAGAAAAAAGATATTTTGCATTAAAACAAAGTTATTTAACCTGTCTTTTCATTTAATAGTCGACCTGCAGGTGGTGGAAAAGCCATGAAGCTTGGAAGCAAAAACAAGGATATTGATTTATTTGTTGATATGCTGAAATCTGAAGGAGAAAGTAAGTTTTTCTATGATAGTTATCAAAATTTACTTTAGTTTGTTTTGAACTGTGCTTTTTCTCTCTTATATATAAGACTATATAAAGCCTCCAATTCTCTAACTCGAGTCAGCAACCTGCGGCTCAGTAGTATCACACTTGTGGCTGTTGAGCAGATTAATAGTATTGAAAAATTAACTGCGATATTGCCATTGCCAAATAAATTTTAATAACCCCGTGTCAGATCGCATGCATATAAACTTAGCTTTAGATAACCTTGCTCCCTACTCTTACCAACGCGACATTCGAAACTAATGGCTTCGCTTCAACTATATTAACGAACTGGCGATTCACTCGACCAATCGTTGTTTCACATTCCTAAAAGGTACTCTCTGTGCCCTCTGCTTGCGATAGCTGCAGCAGATAATCATTATATTATTTTTTCTAATATTACTAATGTATGTTTTTATATGTGGCACTGTAAAAAAAAAAAAAAAAGTTATCACATTGGGAAAAAGATGGCTCTTAACTCCAGAAAGGTTGCTGACTTCTGCTCTAACTGATCAGATAAGTAAATGCTTCAAACTCACTATGATGTGGGAATGGGAATGCCAATGGGAGAATTAAAGAGTAAAGAATAAATCCGATTTTAAAGTTGTGTATACATTTAAAAACTTAATGATAAAATTAAACAAAGATTAAATTAAATTAAATAATAAATAAGTAATATTGAACAAAAATTGAATGAATTTGGATTAATTATTTTATTTTGCAACCTAACTCAAATTTTGCACAACAGTAAGCAATAAAGTCCACAAAGTAAACAAACTCATGAAATTAATCAAAAACTTTACTGTATACGATGTTGCATATAAAAGCAATGTTAAACAATGTTAAATATTAATAAACATTGGTCAGCTGAGTGTGTTCACCGCGCACACATTTTTTCTTTTTTGCCTTTTTCTAATATAAAAAGTAAATAAATTTTGATATCTCATCACATATTGTAATTATATGGATAATGCTGGTGTCAAACGATATACTCAATAGTTTTGATTCAAAGGGATCGACCTATTTTACGTGAATTTTTTTTCCGTCAAGCTTTTATATTGAGATTTTTCAGAAACCTTTTTTCATTATATATATATGCAGTTATTTTATTTGCCACATTTATTTAAACTTCTAGTGTTATCTCTAAGAAATTGTCACCCTCTTCAATCAGAAGAGTTATAAATGCATTTCTGTGTGCCTTTAAATGTGACTGTTAATATATCTCATCAAAACTGTAGTTGATGAAAACTCAATGGTAATGCTTTAAACATTCCATGAACAATAAATGTATAATTCATCTTACAAAGTTTAACTTCATCATTTGGTCTGAAATATGCTATCAATTAACAGAGAACCCTATTCTTTTTGCTTCTTTGGTAAGAAAGAACCATTTTTTGAAGAGATTAATTACTGGAAATGAAATCTAAATCCTTTATAAGAAACTAATGTAAACACTTATAATTTAGCCACAATAAAATTTTAACAGCAGCAAAGCTCAGTCTTCACCAGAAGAGAGTTTTAATACCAATTTAGTGTGATCAGGATGGCATTGTATATTATGAATTGCTTTCACAAGGGCAAACAATTTAATGAAATACTGTTCCCAACAGGTCAAATTAAAAGAAGCAATCAACAAAAAATACTCGGTGTTAATAAACAGATCAAGCATTGATCCTAGGAGGATGCCAGGACTAACAAATTTCATTATATACCATAAGTCTAATACATAAAATGTGTATACTCATTCTCTGTAATATACCACTTAAACATAACTCTTCTTGTGTACACTGCCATCTGCATTTGAAATAAAATTAAATTATGATAATGATATTTTTTAATATTATCCAGATTTGGAGTCTCTCTTTCCTGTCTCCCCATCCTTTTTCTTCTTTTTTAAAATTTTATTCAAATAGTTACATCCTTTTTTTTTTTTTTTAAACCTTACTATTGTATATTTGAAAAAGAAATATACTGACCTTTAAACAGAACCTTTAAAATTGAAATTTTTCTTAAATTGAGTTTAGATATTATTCTGCTGTAAAGATTTAGTTTTAAAAGCTAGCAGTTGTAGATTTTATTAAAAAAATATTTGTCTGATTTTTCATATAAAAAATATAATTTTTATTTAAAAAAAATTAAATCAAAATCACTAAACTTCTTTTTTGTATTAGACTAGTCAAGTTTGTTGTAGTTTTTTACATTTAGTTGGAATTAAATTGAATTATAATTTTCCAAAAATCAATATTTCCTGTATATTAATTACAAAAGACAGCTCACTTAATGTGAACTGATTTTTTTGATTAATGTGAGTGTAATTTTGAAAGTGTGATTTACATGAGTGTCACATGCTTTGCTAAAAAGTAATATTTCTGTGTGTGTCTCTCTCTCTTTCTTTTAATATATGTTTTTATTTTAAGTGGTCACTGCAGGGTTGAAGAAATGTGCAACCATTCTTAAACTTTGAAGTGCAATTTGTTTCTGGTAATGCATGTGAAATTATTACTATTGAACTTCTTAATTTTCATAGAAATTATTATTGATGGACTTCTTTATTTTTTGATGAGTTAATATATTTCAATTCATTTTCTTTCGGGAAATTACTTTTATTAAAATTATAATTTTTTTCCTGAAATTGTTGCTGAACTTGTTGATTTTTCAAGAAATTATTATTCTTGAACTTATAGGTTTTTCAATACTAATTCTGCCACAGAAGTGTTGTAAAATGGCATTTACAGTATGTGGCAGTATTGCATCTTATTGAGCCCTTTGATCAATACTGAGTGGCATTTGGCCTCATCAGCAGTAAAGTCACTTAACTGTAAAGTCACTGGTAGTTCAGTCTAGGATTTGAATCCTAATGAACAGACTGGCTGCATTGGCATTTTTGTTTTTTTTCCCCATGTGTGACATGTATATGAGCCTCCTTAAAAAGTCCTCCACAGAGGCATCCTTCCCCTTTAGAGAGATAGCCCTGGAGTGCATTCCAATATCATGTAAACCAAGCAAAGCACCATTTTGGTTTCAAAATAAGAGAAAGGAGAATGTGAAATTTGATATGTGACAGTAAAATCTTCAAAATTTATAACTATTTCACAACAGAATTTTTCTTTTAAGTATAGTGTGTATAAAGATAGTTATGCTTATAAAAAATAATGTATTTTTTGTGATTATTTAATACCATAATGAATTTTAAGGTTATTTTAACGTCATTAATAATATTTGACAGAATTTTTATTTAAGTTTTAAATAAAATGCTTTAATATTGCTACTTAAAATGAGAAATTGTGGAATTTTTATTTCTTAGCTCTTGATACTACCTCAAGTTCAAAACCAGCTGTGAGTGCAAAACCTCAGACTCATACTGAAAGGTATTTTCTCTTCATTTGCTTCTTTTATCATATATTTGAATATCACTTCATTTTTATTATTAAAGAGTTGTACTTTTCACCTTTTGGATCATATTTCATATATTTAAATTGTGCTTTATTTTTTTATTAGTGAATAGCACTTTTCTTTCTTCACCTTCTGATTGTGCCATATACTTAAATACTTAGTGTACTTAGTTTTTATTATTAGCGAGTAGCTCATTTAATCATATGCTTCCTTCATGGAATTAAATAGTACATGTATGATTAGTCAGTAGCATTTGTTTGAGTGGTTTTTTTTTTTTTTTTTTTTTCTGTATTTTGTTTTTTATGATGCACTTTTAAAATTATTCGGGACATTTATTTTCTGTGTATTTAGGGAAAATAACTTAAAAAGCAAAAATTTTTAACCTGTCTTCTCTTGAAGAAATGATTTATAAACAATCAGCTTTGTATCAACAGATTTACTGGAACTCATCAGTTATTATTCTACTGTTACTTGAAGCTTTTGTGTTCTACCTAGCTGGAAATGCATTGTTAGCATTTAAACATAATTTTAGTGTAGCCACTAAATATTTAACCTGTAACCCCAAGGTCTAAAGTTTGATGCTACTAAAAGTAGGCCAAGCTGTTCATTTGTCATGGATAGATTCCACCCCTGTTGTAAGCTTTTATGAAAAATCTTAAATTGCATATTGCTGATAACATATATGATGAAAGCTGCTCTTGCTGCAAACCTGTGCAATGCAAACTGTTTTGAAACTATTTCCTTTCTTCTCATCTTAGTGCATGAAGGCAGGCTTATTCATTCTAATTCATCAGGACTCGCATATATGATCTCTGATTCATTCAGACTCGTGAACTTAGCTGTAAGTGCAACATGTGTATTCACTTTCTTACACCTTCAAATATTATGCTGGAGGAGAACTGTGTAACAAATTTGTTTGCATTCAGAAAAGTCTTGTCAAATTTTTAATGCTTGAATAAGAAGTGTACTTTTAGTTCATTTATTAAAATATTTGTCTATGGATCCAAAAATTTGATGAATGCCATTGCATTTCTCTCTCTCTCTCTACAGTAAATGTTTTCATAACCATAATCTATCATGCAAACGTAAAACAGCAGATCATTACAAGGCTTTATTGATAGCATAAACAGTAGATTAACTCATATTATGTATGATGTATTCATATACTAAAACAAATTTAAGAAATAAAAGTGCTTTGTAATAGTGTACTGTATACAAGTTCTCAGATCCATGTACTTGCAAGATGAATTGTCAATCTCTCTCAGCACTAATATTAATATTGTTATAGAAGTAACAAAAAACAAAAATGTAGTGTATATTACTAACCCTAGATTAAAAAAAAAAGTCTGTAGTACGAATCAAGTTTTTTTTTTTTTTTTTTTTTTTTTTTGTTTTTGTGACTTTATTTTCATCCTTGGGAGAGCGTAACTAGACACTGTTCATGTATCTATGTTATTTAAGTTTTGCAGTAACATATTAAATATTGTAAAAAATAATTGTTAATTCCAAATGATCACATTTTAATTCAAGTTTATTGGATGGATGAACTATCCAGGTAGAAATGATTAACATAATAAGGCATGTTTTGAGTAAAATTCATAACACTTGAATGCACTCCAGTATTAGCAGTTGTAAATTACTGTAGAGTTAATTCAACATAATAACTACAATAAATTTTTACAATTCATGTTTTCATTATTGCCCTTGCTGCTATGAATTTATTTGTTTGATTACGGCAGAACTCGCGAGAGCTACCTGCCTCCAAGGAAAATGGCTTTGTGGAGGCCTTTTTAAGGGAACTGGCAAGTGGCAAAAATGGCCATCTAGCTAATCATTTTCACATGAATTGGTATCTAAGTCAAATTATTAGTGTTCAACAATCTTACCCACATGGACACTGGTATCATGGATAGTCTGTAAATGTTTGTATGTTAAAATTTTTGAATATGTGAACTTTGTAACATTGTTTTATTTTATACAACCCAGCGTCTGAAATCCAGGCATGCATAAACTAAAATGATCTGTTAGTTAGACATCCCATAAAATATACCTCATACATCTATTATAGAAATAGAAAATAAATCAATCAGTATATTTGTTTCTTTGATTATTTTTAACTGTAAATAACATTTAGTTGGTTGTGCTTTGCGATATCCTGTGTAGTATCAGCTATGATAGAGAGAGAAATGAGAAACTTTTCATTTCATCCACAACCTATTTTTTCAAACAGCTATTTAAACAATCATTTAATTCATTTTAAATTGTAGGACTCAAATACTGAAAAGTGTCATTTCTGTCAATAATTGTCAATAATTTGACATCAGATAAAAATTGCCTATGTATGTATCTGAGGTACTTTCTCTGTGTCCACGAAAAGTGTTAGCTAATTTTAAATTTATCGAAGCTAGTCTGTCTAAAATTGATGTAAATTAATTTTATCTTTTACAAACTTTTCCAACATTGATCAATGCTGTTGTTTCCTTCCAATTTTTCTTTGTGATATGAGAATTTTCTCTTGTCCATTTTTATTCGTATGGATAATGTTTGCCATTACTGTATTCCTTTCATCCACATCATGTCCTTATTTGGAAATAATCAACGTGGTTCTCAATAAACTTTGTTTAGGTGAAAAACAAAGCCAAAATCTCTCTATCTTTAAACTCAATTTATTAATCATTATATAATAAACAGAAGCAAATGTTCTGCATATCTTGATTTTGGGGAAGGTTAATATATTTTGTTCCACAAGGGCTATAATTTAAAATAAATCTCTTCATATCCTTTGCAAGATTTTGTGCATAGTGACTGAAATCGGAAGAATATCTCATTTTTTACATCTGGGAAAAGCGGCCTAAATATTTCTGTCATTATATCAACTCTATTATGGGAAATTTTACATACACAGAGGGCAATTCTTTTTTAATCAAATTTTAAGAATTTTAAAATTAATTAAAAACATTTTTAATCATATTTGAAGCAGTTTTAATCTTTGACTAATGAAATCTTAAAATATGCATCCTATAAATGCTTTGGTTTTAACATTTTCTTCATTAATCAGTTACTTTGTTGCAATTTAATTTCGCTCCTCCTCTCATTTCTTAAGTTATTTAGTGAAACCTCAGCGTTGTTCTGAATTGTCTTTGCATACATAAAACGTATCTGAATGTGGATATTAAGTCATTTTTTTCTATGAGGATCATTCATTAATATATATCTCTCTATAGGATGCAAGGAATTAAAATATATTTGCATTTATGTCTTATAAATGATATCAAATAAGATCATAATCAATTTCATTATCAGTTAAAAAATTGTGAAAGAAGTAGAAAACATGAGTAGAAAGAAATGAAAAAGAGAGATTTTAATCTTTTTTATCTGTTTGTTTTTTAATTTTATTCAGAGTTAAACCATTTTGATGAGATTTATGTAAATACATGAATTGTACAACCAAACTTCAAAATAAGAACTGGTGTGGTGTCTATAATGCTTGGATAAAGTAGTTAATTTTTACAGTCAATTTTTTCTTTTCGTATTTACAAGAAAATTTGACATATGGCTACAATACAGAATCGTTTCCTAAAACTGAAAGTTCTGGGAATTCTATTGAACTTCCGGGTACAAAATGAAGGTACAAGATGTCAGGGGTCCTAACTTCTTGTACCTTCATTTTTGCTGCTTTTCTCACATATTTGCCTCAAGAAATTTAGAACTTGTTCTCACAATAAGCCTGAGTATCAATCTGCTCCCAGTTATCACTAATGACTTAAAAGCTCTGCTGTAGATGAGAATCAAAACAAAGTTTTTTTGCTTTGCATTCAGTTGAAGTTTTTGTATCTATAACACTGAATTCAACTTTTTTATCTGCTTACAAGGGCCACCTATCTGCACCATGTGATGCAGGCAGGGGGCCCTTGGAACTTAAACAAACATGGATTCTATTTTATATATGTAATGTATGAAATATGAAAGAAAATTACTAACTTAATCTAGCAATAGCCTTCTTAATTCGTGGTTTTAATTTAGATACAACCTCCTTCAAAAAATCCATATTTTGTCATTTCCATCATTATTTCATCTGCACTATGAAAGCTCTTACCCAATCACCTTTTAAAACTGAAACAAAGAAGCTATGTTTATAAATATTCCTGCTCCTTTATACGCAGTCTCTTTCTGTGCCTGCTCCTGCATAGGTAACCTGCATCTCTTTGATTAATTGTTTCTCCTACTATTTAAGTTACTACTATTAAAATGTGATAAGTTTATATGAATTGTGGATCACTTATATCTTAATAGATTGTCAAAAAATAAAGCTACTTTGTGATTATGCAAGTATTGTGGTTTTTCCAAAATTCCATCTGGTCACAACAGTCTGCATGTATGCCACTTTGGCTGATTGAAAAGTTAATTGGTGTGTTCTTCTGCAAAATTGTGACATATCTATATATATATTTATAATACAATCCTTCTTCTTTTAATTTTAAATGTGTAAATGTAATTCAGCAAAACATTTAGGGCTGTTTAGGCCTTCAGGCCCCTATGCAACAGTGTTTCTTGCATACCCTTATTTACACCACTACAGGGTGACACTCCCCCCCCCTGAATTCATTAATTTTTCAAATTATGCCTTTTTAAAATGAGCATATTTTAACATCATTGAAAAGTCTGTATTTTGTCATAAATGTCCAAATCTGCATATTGTTTCTTTAGCCCTTTTTCAAAATCTTTTGTTATAATATTAACAGATTTGTAACATATTCATTATAATTTTCCCAAAATGGCAATTAAAAACTTGGTAGCATAACAGCCCTAATGGGCCAAGGACTGCAGTGCCCGAAAATCTGCTTTCTTGATCGTGGGCCCCAGGGTGCGAAAGCGTATGCCCTGAACAAGTGGTCAGCTTGTCGCAGGACCCCCAGTGTTTAGTTTCCAAGCAAACTTGATACTCAATTTATAAACCCAAGTGATGGAAATCAAGGGATGAAAGGCTGAGTCGACCTTGCTCATCCCGGGAATCGAATTCTGGACCTGTTTTGCTGCTGCGCGATGCATTAGGCACTGCGCCAACGAGCGTCAAAACGGTAATTAAATGAACTTCATTATTTTATTGTCACTTAGTTATCTTTTAAAATTTGATACATAAAAACTGTATTATGCATTTAAAAAAGGTGAGAGGAAATAAATACTTTTTGTTTAGTTTTCTAAGGAAGAGAAAATTGAAATTAAAGCTTCTTTTATACCATCAATATAACTGTGCTTTTTCAACAAGGAAATTTTCAAACTGATCAAATAAGTTGAATTTACATGCTGTAAACATATTAAGAGTTCTATAAAACTATGAACTTTCATGGACTTGAGCATCTCAGCCAGAAGCTGAATGGCGTATTCTGTTTTCTTGTTCACTCTTTGTTAGAATTAACTTGATTTCTTTTATTCTAAAAAATTTGGTATATTTTGTAATTTTTTTTAAATTCTTCTTTGAGGGGGTTTAGATTGCAATCTGAAGTTTTCAGGTTGGAATATTTTATGTACTTATTTATTTGTTTTTCTGTAATACAGATGAAAATGGCTTGACTTTTGATTTCTATTTAGTGTGCACTTGCGCTGTGAAGAGAAGATAACCGTAGTTGCTAAGCGAAATGGAGGCTTGGATTCTTTAGAAGTCCATGGTATAGTGACTCTGAACATAGCAGATGAGAAGTATGGGTGCATCCGAATCAAAATTGATAATCAGGATGAAAAAGGAATTCAAAGCCAGGTATTTTTTCTTCAGATATTAGATATTATAAGCAATATATAGTCAGCAGTAAGTCAATTTTTACTTAATTATGTGTTTCTAATTGTAGACGCATCCTAATATTGATAAGGAATTGTTTAGAAGTTCTCAGATAATTGGCATGAAAAACTCAGCTAAACCATTTCCTGTCAATGTTGATGTTGGTGTCCTGAAGTGGCGTTTCCAAAGTCAGGATGAAAGCTATGTTCCTTTGTTGAGTAAGCATGCTTATTAAAACATTCTTCTTATTTTTCATTGGATTAAATAGTATTTTGAATCAGAAAGCAAGTGTTGTTTTCCCCAAAAGGTTTCTATTAAGAATTTTGATGTATTTTATTTTGCATTATTTAATGTTGTTATAATTTATATAAATATTTGTGTCCATTGTTGCCATATTGTGTTGTGTATTTATTTGTTAGTACATTTTATTACAATTTTATGTTGATTATTATCATTTATATGAATAATCTATGGCCATTTATTGCAATTGCATATGTTTAATTCCTTTATTATTTAGTAGAAATTGTAATTCTGAGCTAAGGATTTTTAATTTGAAAATCTTTTTGGGCTGGGTTTAATATTATTATAGGGTATATGCTTAGTTTTTTATGAATTAACATTGGTTGATTTTTCTGAAAAGAAGCACTATTTGCATGCTTTTTTCTTTCAGTTATAAAAATTTTTAATGGTAAATATTTCGTTTTGTGGTATGTGTCATAATTCTGAATTTTCATATTGTTAATTCATTCCCTCCTTTAAAAGCATTTACAGTGATACATGTTATGAAGTTTTATATTTACTTTTACAATTAATTTTTAATTAACTTTTTTAACATTTCTCTTTTTATTTCAATAAATTATTTTGGAGAGATAATCAATATATGGAAATTATATTAACTAACTTTGCAGCAATTGCGCAAGTAATAATAACTTGTATTCGCACTAAATGGATTTAAGATCATACAACATTTGATATGCTAAATAGCAGCTATTAGCGCTATTTATCTCTTACCTAATGTACCCACTTTATATATTATCTCCATTCTTTTTTAAGTTTTAAAGTTCTTATACAAAAACTTTACTGTATTGAAGGTTAGCAGCCTCCTTACTTTTATATCTTGCTAGTTTAACTCATATTGAAATCATTAAATGTCATTCCACTAGATGACAAACTTGAAAATTTAACGCCATGCCTGCTACAGGTAAACCCAAAAAACAATTTCTATGAAAAACATTTAACTGTATTTACATGATTACATGCGGTACTTGACATATTAAAATATATAGGACAGACTAAAAACAATCTTAACTTTCGAATCAATAACCATAGAGCTCAAATCAAAAAATTCAACGCACAAAAAAATAAACATTAAAATAAGTACACCATCACAACTTAATACAGCAGAATTAGAACACTTTAAACACCATGACTTCAACTCTATTCAACTTCAGATACTAGATATAATACCCAATCACAAAACACGAATTTTTCAGGAATCTCTCTATATACTAAAACAACGTTCACTTTATCCATATGGACTTAACACTTATATACATAGTCATAGAGATACTTCTAAGAAGTCTATTTTCAGCCAATTTAAACTCTACAGCATCAAAACGCAGAGAGGAAAAAGAGGAAGCAAAATAAAAAAATAATGCGAGATTTTTATCCACTTTGGATACACTTGCATTGAAAAAACAATTGAAATGTTTTTTTGACTCAGACTGTTTTCCCAAGAAACTTCTCAACTGGTTACACTCCTGTACTAATAAATTCCTTATCAAACTAAAAAAATTCATTCAAGAAAGCTACGACGACATACAAATCATTAAAGACATGATTCTTGATTTTAGTCTTTTCAGACTCTCTAATAGTCTCACTCAACGCAAAATTTATTTTAAAGTCAATTTTCTGCATCCGCAGTTTGACAATATTCATTTCTCAAGAATCATCAGAGATTGTAAAGATTACTTCCCCGCAGTTGACACTATACCAATGATTGCATTTAAATATCAAAGGACCTTAAGCAACTTGCTTACTAACCACCATGAAATAGATGAAACTGCAGAATGACATTGTAAGACACCAATTTACAGCAATTACGTAGATTCTCATCACCAGCACATAATTACTGGCAACCTGAATATCATACAAAACCATCAACTAAAAACACTAATGAGTTATGGTACAAAATTTAGACCAGTCAGAAACATGACTACAAATTACTGTTACAAGACTTTCGAAAACAACATCAACGAATTTATAGTTAAAGCAAGCTATCAACTGAATTTTCCCATAGATACCTTCTTAAAATGGAAAGCTAAAATTCTTCAACGCATATCCACAGAAATCAGTCACCTCAAATTTAAAAGTACACTGAACTGGTCGCAACTTACATCTGATATTAGTAAATTAAAACAGCTTTTTACTATTACAAAAATAGATAAAGCAACTAATAACTTTAGCATTATATGAAAACAATTCTACACTGAGATTATTCATAAAGAACTTCTCAACGCAACTACTTATCAATCAGCCAACCTTACAGAAACATCTATAATAAACAGGATTAAAACTTTTCATAAGAAACTCAATATTACTTTCAATGCAAACTACAACAGATTTACTAATCTTTATGCGATTCCCAAATTCCATAAAACACCATTAAAATTTAGATTTATAGCTAATGGAACTAATAATTACAAGAAAAATATAGACTATTATTTTTCAATTCAACTTAATAAAATCTGTAAATTTATTTTCAATGATTGTAACACTAATCATAACTATTGCTGGATCATTCATAATAACACTCCTGTCATTAATACCATTCATACCATTAACATCCAAAACATTAACTGCTATGATTTTGAAAACTTATATACCTCACTTCCTCTAGAAGAAATCTATACCAGTCTACTTGATCTACCAAAACTTTTCCCTAATATACTCAATATCATGACTCTTGACAAATGGAAAACCTACCTAAAATGCACACTTTTTCATAACTACATCAAGTTTCAAAATCAACTTTTTAAACAAGTCAGAGGATTGCCAATGGGCTTACATTCCAGCACCTCGATCTGTAATATCTTTTTATTTGTCAAAGAATTTAACTTCCAAAAAAATCTACAACCACAAGAGTTAAATTACTACAAACACACCTACAGATTTATTGATGACCTTATTACAATTAATAATTTTGGTAAAATTGAAAACTCCGACATTTATCCGAATTGTCTTAAACTTAATAAAACTAATAATTCACAAAATAGCATAGACTTTCTAGATCTTCAAATCATTAACTACAAAAAAATTTTACTTTTTGACAAAACAAGAAACTTCAATTTCAATACTAACAAATTAATAAATTGGAACTCCAACATATCCAAAAAAGTAATTAACAATACTATAATTAATCAAATACAACGAATTAAAACTATATGCACAGATACAATAGATTTACAACGCGAAATTTTGATCCTTATCAAAATTCTCAAAAATAATCTAATTCCCTTTCAATTTATCAACCATTGCCTTAAAAGAGCAGGCGTTAAATACTCACTCTAAATCATTTAACTGATAGGGATATGATAATTTATTCCTAAACCTGAGAAGGCGGTATAAGTTGGATGACTGTCAGTTGAAAGATTTGTATATAGTGTAATTACTCAATTGTATATATTGTAAAAAGCTAATTGTCTTCAGACATATACTGTTACTATACTGTTACTAAAAAAATGGGCCTATTTCCTGCCTTTAGACTGTCTACTAGCTCTTGGATAGCGAAAATGCCTTTTTCCTTTCTTAAATTCTTAATCATTGCGACACGACAATTAGCCAGAAATTAATTAATTTCCATTCACTAGTATTTTTAAAAAAATCTTAACAGACGGTCTCTCTCAGATAAGAACTCCACAAAATACATCCCTCAAGAATTCCAAGTCCCACCCACTACCATAAATTTCTTCACCCAAGTCTTACCGACTGATATAATTCAAAGCCCCTACTGCCGCTAAGAATTTTCGGACACCCTACACTTCTGAGTCAGACACGAAGAGAACACACTGCCAACTCCCCCACTAGAAAGAATGTAAGTTACTTAATACCTTTCTGGCCTTTATATCTTCATGTACATTCACTGATCTTATTTATATTATTTTCTATTTTATTTTTATATTATTTTTATGTTCTCTTTGATTTGTTTTTGCAAAGTTTGCATTATTTATCTTTTTTATAATCTTCTATGTTTATTTCAACTTTACTTTGATTTCGATTTCATAATGACAATTTCCAATGTTTAATTTCTACAAATAATATAGTACTCAAATACATAAAGATGATAGTGTCGGGGACGATTACTCGAGTTTTACAAGATTTCTCTACAGTAATTGATTTTTACTCCAAATTGAATTGACTAAAATGCTTCATGAGAATCAGTTCTTTGAGTAACAACTATTCGCGGAAATATTTGGCCTGACTAGAATTGCCGGTTTGGCTTTAATTTATAACTCGAGTAAAGACGAAACACTTTCATATTTACGTATTTTTATCAATTATTGATCATTGAACGGGAGTTGGTTTGTTCCCCTTGAAAAGTCAGCTAATTTCCGATCAATGACAATAATTACATGTTTTAATTTTTACTTTTACAATTGTAATATTATTCTTCGTGATGATTTAACTCCAGTCCCCGTTAAAACACATTATTAACATTTTGCTTTCAAATTACTTCAAAACATCTTTCAAAATATAACTTACCAGTATGGATGCACACTTTTAAAATAATTCTACTTTAATTAAACTTAGGAGATAATATAATCAATTAATCAATACGGTTTAGGAAAATATATATATATATATAATAATATTGCAAATTTTAAAGATTTTTTTCACCTGTTAAAGGTTTTTTGCGAAAAAACTTCTGTTTAAGAATGCGCAACTTGGGCACATATTAGCTACTTCTGAAAAACTGTTGGCTTTATCTTAGCATAAAGTTTGAGTGCTAGAGAAAACAAAATTTTCAAATGAATGGAGTTTGTGAAGAAATATGGGGAAGTGATAATAAATGGAGTTGATATAACTGAAGTTTTTCATTGCAGGGACTATGTCCCAATCAGCAATTAACTAACAGAGGATGAAATCCATACATTAGTTTTAAATCCCAAAAATATCACTGTCCATTGTGAAGGAAGTGACTAGGAGGTTTTTGAGAATGAAAAGATTTTGATCGGCAGCTGAGTAGGAATTCTGAACATAGCCATTACAGAACTTAAACAGTGAAACTTTGTAACTGAAGAAGAAGTTACGTCTATCTTATAGATGGAGAGAAAGAATCAAGAGAAAGTATTAGTCAAAAAAGAAAAAAAAAAAGAAAAAAATAAAAATAAAAACTCGAACAACTTAAATTGAAGGGAAAAAAAAAAGTTTAATAAAACAAATAAATATTAATTGTGTGTGTGTGCTGTTAAATTGAAAAAAAAAAGTTTAATAAAACAAATAAATATTTATTGTGTGTGTGCATGCATGTGTGTGGATTTTGGTTTCAGAAAGGTCATAAAGGATTCAAACAACTATTTCATGTTTTGAATATTGTAATTTCTGCATGTTTTCTAATTAGATTTAAACAGGTGATTTAAAATATGGAATCGCTTAAGTCCTGTTAATTCCATATCTCCAACTTTGTCTTGTACTACTATTTCAAACTTTTTGCATGAATAGTATTAAAATATTTTTATAACTTAATAGTATTTCTGTTTCCATCACTAGTAAACTGTTGGCCTTCAGAAAATGGTAGTGGTTGCTGTGATGTCAATATTGAATATGAGTTACAGATAGATAGTCTGGAGCTGAATGATGTAGAAATCCAAATTCCAGTGCAGTAAGTGCATTTTTATTTATTTTGTTTTAGTTATTACATGTGCATGTAATATTTTTCACATGCTGCATTCATTCTGTTGCTATATCTTGAATATGTGTTTTAAGGAAAAAAAAGTGAAAGTTCAAAATGTTTATTTCCTAAGGTGTTAAATTACGTTTGAATTAAAATTTTTCTAAAATATGGTATAAATATTTATGAAAATAGTCTTGCATTGTATATAGAAAGTGTTGTGTTTTGTTGAAATAAAATTTGTAGAAATTGGAAATCTCCTGAGCTGAGTCTATCCAAAGCACTGCATTCCAGTAACCTGTAGACTGAATATTGGTAATTTGACGTGGGATCCAATCCCAGCAAATGGACTCGCTGTATGAGAGTTGGAGTCCCTCCATGTGTAACATAAATGTAAACCAGTTTTCCTTAAAAAGAATGTGTGCCCAAAGGCACTCATCCTCGTAGACAACTAGATCCTGTAAACGTTTCCTCACTTAAATAATCTAATCCTTTCCAAAGCATTACATTACCATGCATTTATCATCTGCCTATCTTTGTAAGTATTGCCATTGCTTGAAATCTTGCACTTGATGACTGTGAATCTATAGGTGATCACCAGTAACTAATTTCTTTGACATTTAATTTTTCTTTCTGCTTACTTTTATATTAGTAATTGCTTCTAAATTTACTCCACGGTTTTACTTTTAGGTTGAGTGCAACTACAAGCTCCCAATAATCAACTGCCTTGATGAGCACTTATTCTCATCAGTTTAATTTTATATTTAAAGTCTATCTAAATTTATTGCATAACCCTTGATCAGTAGCATATCAGTTGATCATCAATGCCCATCAGCATATTAACATTAGGTTTCCATAATTGTCTGTTATGATGGGCAGCGGCATCTTCCAGTTTAGCTTTAAATTAAAATGTGTTTAAATTTACTGCTGTTTAAATTAACTTAGTAAATCACTTGACATTTGTAGCCTGCAGATTGACCATTAGTGAATATCAACATGTTAATCTTTGGTAAGCAGGTGCCTTGGATGCTTGTTAATGTTATAAGTTTATTTTGAATGTTTTGTTTAAATTTACTGTGTTCTCCATACTTATGATCCATTGGTTATTGGGTGGGTTGATAACTATTGGAATTTAGTTCACTGAATATTGAGCATCTACTTGTAGATCTTCAGCGACTGATGCCTTTCTCAGGTTTAGTGTTTTCATATATTTTTAACTTAAAACTTTAAATTTACTGTTCTTCATACTAGTAACCATCTGGCTGACCGAAAGTGAACCTGTAGATCAACAGTGACCTTGAGTACTTGTCAAAGTTTTTGTCCCGAGTTTCAAATTATGTAAATTGGCATCTGAAAAAGAGCAACAGGCATATTTGACAGAATGGCCACAATATATTTTAAATGCAAGGATTATTTTAGCATCAATAGAACTTCTTATGCAATTTCAAAGTAAGCTTCCCCCTTCCTAAAAGCTCCATTACTGAAACTTTTTTAACAACAGGAGAATAAGCAGACTGAGGCCACGTGAGCAGCCCATATGTAAGGATTCTTCCCAGAAACCTTCCAACGGGCTGAAATCCCAGAGAACGGACTCTTGTTGAATCAAACATTTAGCAATCACACAGCCTGAGGTCAGACTGAACAGTACTATTATGAATCCTTGCAGTGTCTAAGGCTGCTATCACACGTCGGTTTGTTTAGGAAGAACAACTGTTTGGAAAATTTTTTCTGCTTTGTCACAACAGCCAATCACCATAGATCCTTAGGGATTAACACAGGGGGAACTGGTTCCCCACTACAAACAAGCTGATAGCTGTTTGGTTGAAAACGAACAACCTGCAATTTTTTTGGAAAGGAAGGAAAAACGTCACACGTCTTTCTTTCAATAGTAAACCAGGCAGTTGGTGTGAAACGAACGCCGTGTGATATGTGCCTAAGTAGGTCACAGTTAAAAAAAATGGTTGTAGTCTTCTGAAGGCATCTTAATCCCCTCCAAATTGTCCACTTCTCATGTCAGGACAGAGAGGGTGACCAGCTTAGAGAGTTACTAATAGAACAGCAAAATCATCAACAGTTTTGAGATTGTTAGTATTATTATTTGGAAGCATTATGGTACCTCAGCAAAAAGGTATCCTCAGCTTAAAGGTAATTTTTTGGAAGGTACTGGCATCTTTATGTATTCACCTGCTGTATAAGTAGTTTGCAGTGGTTAATCAATAAGAACTTTACTTGGGTAATTTCTCCTTGGAAGGAGAGCAATGCCACCATGGTGGAGATTTCTTTCTTCAAGTTAAAACTGATCTTTGTCACAGGTGTAAGCATCTTTGCAGAAGTTTTTGTCTTAATGAACAGTGGCTAATGAATACTGGCATTTTCAACAGAAAGTATTCCTTAAACACAAATATAAGAGATGTGCAGGATACCTCTGTGAAACATCTATCAAAAAGTATTTGTGTAGAACACATAAGTTTATATACTATGTATATTTTGTACATAATATATAAATATATTTATGGGGGTTTAATGAAAGTTTCCCGCCACTGTAAATATCATCTGGCAAACAGTTTGCATTGGCATTTTTAATCGTATTTTGTTAAATGATTTTTAGCATTTGGAAGAAAGAGACTTGCTGTAGAATACTCTGTTGTTAAATTTGGAAAAAATATTGTTATCATTAAGTATAAGGTGTTTGAAATGGAACTATCATGCTACCAGATTAGAACTATCATTTTCTTCTAGTTCTGTTGCAAAATGTCAGCTACAAAATGTCGCTAAATCATATGTAAAGCTTTAGGTATTAATGTTGTATCATATGACAATGTGAAAGTGTGGTACTGAAGTTCAAAAACAAGGACTATGACATTCAAGAAGCAGAGTGCTCCGGCCTGTTGATGAGGCCTACCTGCAAAAACTTGTAGAAGAAGATCAGTATGCAACCACTCAAGAACTTGCTAAGGAGTTAGATGTTAGTGCCATTTCCATTAGTCGTGCTATGCATCCCATAAACTTCATGTATTAGTTTAATTGCATGAGGTGACTCAGGCATATAAAGAGGCAGCAGATTAGTGCAGGTGTTAAGGCCTGCACTAATCTGCTTGAATATCAACGCAAGGACAAAATTCTGGACTGGATCGTCACTCGTGATGAAAATTGGATTTACTTCAACAACACAAGCTGAAAGGGAATTGGTCTGTGCCCGGTGAGCCCATTCGCAAAGTACAGGTTGACTAACAAAAAAAATCATGCTTTGTATCTGGCGGAGTTGTTATGGTATTATCCACAAAGAGTATATGAAAAAAAGGTAAAACCCTCTGCAACAAGTTGCTAGTCCATGTTGACGTTGCTATCAAGTCAAAACGTTGAACTGAGTTTCAGCCCAAAAAGGTAATGTTCCATCAAGATAATGCGAGACCTCATGTGTCTGCATTCATTGGCTGGACTCTGTATGGACTTGAATGGTATCTTTTGCCACAAACAGCATATATCCCTGATATCGTTCCTTCAGACTTCTACCTTTCTTCACACTTACAGCAACATCTTGCTGTACTATCTTCCATTTTGCACAGGACTTCCAAAATGAGGTTGATCTGTTTTTGGACTCTTAGCCACTAAGTTTCTCGACCAAAAACTTTGAAAAAGTGCCAAAATGTTGGTACCGAACTTTAAATCTACTGCTTTTATTTATTTATTTATTTATTTTTAATCTAACTTTATTAAGAACATTTTGGTGGATAACTTTTGTTACAACCAGATATGTACTGTGTACAAAGTTAAGAGTAAATATAGTATTTTAATTAAAGTATTTATTTTTAATAGTACAGTACAAGTCCAGAAATCTGCAAAGCTTGGGTTCCACCAGAGGTTGTGCGGATTTTAGGATTCTGCAGATTTCAGGACAGAAAAGATAAATCATAATATTCAGAATAAAAGTGCAAAATAAATAAGGCATATTAGATACATTTAATTAAATCATTATGTACATTATTACAATACTTTATTATATGCATTAAATTATTATATTATTCATTGTATTATATATGTACACAGTGTCGAGGTTTGCCGATTTTGCCTCATGCAAAGATTTCCAGTCGGATTCCGGTGTTAGAATCACTGTTGCTGTAAAATTTCAACAGCTTTTCTTTATTTTCCCATATATCATACACAATCGTGTTGCAATTCCGTATGATTCTGCTATAAACCGAGGAGTAGCACCTGCCTCCATCTTTTGCAGAATTTGCACTTTTTGCATTACCGTCAATGCAACGTGTTTACGTTTTTCAACATTGCAAGCAGTAAAATCATGAGCGTGTTTCTTATCTGTCATTGTATTAAAAAGCACTGAAATTTAAAATATTCTTGATTTGTCCACAAAATATCTGGATTAAAAAAATGGCAGCATTCAACAATCTCGTTTAATAACATAGCTCAGAAAATACACAACGGGAATTGTGAACTTGAGAGAAGAGTTGAGTGAATCGTCTACTTTTTAATCTTGATACAGATTAGAGGGAAAAAAACTTTTATCATGATGTCAATAATTTGGTATTTCCGTTATGACTCATTATTATTAAGTATTTTTCGTCAATATTTTGTACTCCATGTTGCGGTTTCCGAAACCTATAAACTGAATGCTTATATTTTGAGAGGCAACGCGGATTTCAGGTCGGCGGAGTTTCGGTATTTGACTGTATTTTAATTTTTATTTATTTTAATTATTTTTATTTTAGTTTAATAAAAATATTTAAGAATCTTAGTATTTCATTTAAAGTAGAGATATTTAATTTTAATATACAATGAAGGGTATGAGGTATTGAGATATCCATTGTGTATTTTCCTGTTCCTTGATTTGATTTATTGTGATAAATTTTGTATTTGGAAGTATGCAAAGTAATAATTTAGGAAGTAAAAGCACTAATTATGTTCGTCAGATGTTATGTAGTCTATTGTCATGTATGTTGCTCAAATATTTTATTCCATTTTTCGTTATTTGCTGGATTGTAGTGGAACACCTGTGGTTTCAGAATGTGAAGGACTGTATGAGCATGATGGACGAAAGAACCGATTATTATGGAAGTTGCCTGTTATAGATTCTTCTAACAAAACTGGATCTATGGAATTCTCTTGCAGTGGAAAACCATCTGATTTCTTTCCTATTTCTGTGGAATTCGAATCACTTTCATCCTATTGTAACATAAAGGTAATTTGATAATTCTAATAATGAGCCACATTTTAGAAATTTCAGGAGCCTTAGCTACTAGATGTATTGTTTTAAAAGTGGTAAAACATTTCTTTAAAAAATTAATTAATTGGGAACTGGATTACTTTAATTAATTTATTTGGAATCATAAATAAGTATTGTTTTCTTGCCCTTTATTCAAGAAGATTTGTCTGTTCAGTATGCAGAATATTTCCCGATGAAAACCAAACATTTTCTTCTGATTATATTTATTAGCTGATTTTAATGGGAAGGAAATTAAGCTGGAAAATGACATGGTCATTATAACAATGTGAAAAGCTTTTCTTTTGAGTGAAAATTAATGCAGTAGTCTGGCTCTTATAATAAAAATCATAATTTAGTTTTACATACATAATTAACATGAGGCTCAGTATTTGGAATTAATGTTATAAAACTCATTAGATAAGAATTGGATCATAAGAAGCATTTAATTTTTTTAATGGAAGTTACAGCTATAGATATTTAATATAATGGTCATTAGTGCAATTTAATTTACATTGCTAATACAGCATTTTGTTAATTATATATGCCATTTTCACATCACAAAAAACCACCATCAATTCTAAAAATAACATAACCATGATAATAAGTCATTGCAATGAAATTATTTGTCTTTTTTACTACTTTAGACACATGGCAACATTTTGAAATCATTATATTCATAGTGTAATATTTAAATTCAGATTGTTTAATGTTAAAAACCATGTTGTAGTTTAATAATTCATATTATGCGCATGCTGTAAAAATAAAAAGGCTAATCTTTGGAATATGGTAACAGGTAGTTTGGCGACATTTTGGTAAGGCGATAATGGTTTCTAGCTAGGACTTTAGCAGTGTACATGGATAAAGACAGGAGTGTGCGCAATGCCATTTTTGTGCAATTCTGGGATTTTTTTTTAAGTGAAAATAGGTCGATGTGTACATGGATACCATGTATGTGCAATTCTGAAAAACGCGGCAAGCCGTAGGCGATTCTGCACTTTCTCCCAATTCGCAACCTAATCTTCATCATGATTAAGCAAGTTTTGTTCCATAAAAGTTCTAGCATAAGCGTAATTCGACTAGCAGATTGTTGGGAAAAAAATGTTGAGTAAAAAAAAAAAAAAAAAAACATGCTTTTTTACTTATTGAAGACATAAATGGCGTCCCCCCCCAAAAAAAATTGGAGGTTGCTATAGCAGGTTGGTCGCCAAATTTTCGCCAAAAAATCGCCAAGTTACCATAATCCAAAGATTAACCAATAAAAATTATTGTTTTTTATAACAGTCTCATTTAGTGGGCCAAAAAGTCACATGCAATTCAAAAGCTGCAGACTTACCATCTCTATTGTATAGTAAAAATAATGTTAAACTGTAGTAAGGTTTAAATTTTATGAATATCAAACAATCATTAGATATTTATAAATATGTGAATGCATAGTTAAAGAAACACCAAAGTGTATTTTTGATCACTGTAAGTCACAAACTAAATTAATCAGAAGTGATAATTGGAATGTAAAATTCTTCATATTAAATTAATGATATTAGAGTACAATGATTAATTAAACATGCAAACATTAATATATATTTAAAGCTAAAAAAATGAAGTATTTTTATTAGAGTTGGAATAAACCTTAAATTTTTCAAATATGAATTCAGTGAGGTTTTTGGATCTCTTGAATTATTTATATGCAAATAAAAAAATGAAATTTTAAATTAAATTAAAAGTTTTTAATTTAAGCAAATCTCAAATTTGTATTTTATAAAAATCAAATTTAGGGAAACATTTTTTAAATGCACTTATATTTAATATGATGATGTAAGTGAAATTTAGTGAATATAGTGCTAAGTAAAGCTGTTGAACCCTGAGGTTCGTTTCCTCAGTATAATTTGATTAAAAAAATATTGAATAACATTGCAAAGTTTATACAGAGGGTATTTATACATTTCTGAAAGGATTTGGGGGCTGCTTAATTAATGTTTAAAATGCAAAAAGTATTTTTCGAAATGTTAAATCTGTTAGCTTTTTTCCCTGGACTATAAGTATGTTTCCATGATTTCTGCGATAGAAGGGCTTTTCTTAAAATTTCCAGAAGATTTCCATTCCTCTTCCACTACTTTCTGGAATCCATCAGTCATGGTAGGTTTGCACTTAAAAAGAGCTCTTTTCGAGGGACCAAAGGCACAATAGTCCATAGGATAAACATCAGGGAACTTTGCAAGAATATGTTGAAAAGGTGTATATACAATACCTGTATCAGTGTTAATTTTTTTTTAAGGAATACTGTGGTACTTTTCAGAGTATCACTTCTTTTTTTCTTGATAAAGTTTCACTTTTTTTTTTTTTTTTTTTTTTAATATTGGATGTGAAACTTTCTCTTGATAGCACTTTGTATCAAATGTAACATTTTCCCACTTTTCTTATTTTTAATTTACTGTTGTAAGAGAATCCTGTGACAATTGTAAAACCCTTACTGAAACTGTCTTTGCATTGATGGAACCAGGTTTGTACATTTTTTGCTCTTTGTCTTCGATAATGAATAAACCTTTTAGTTGCAGTCATTTAGGTAGACCCTGCTTCATTAAGTTTCTCAATGTATTTCTTTTATCTCCTGCTAAATAGTTTTCATAGAGGGTTCTACAAATTGTTCTGTGAGTCAGGTGCTTCAGCAAAAGCTGGGGAACATTGTTTTCAAATTTTTAAGATGTAAATCTTAGTTTATTATTCTATTTATTTTGCTGTAGATGAATTTAAAGACTTTGCAGTCGATTTCTATGTTGGCAGATTTTCTTTCATTACCAATAGTTTAACTTTTGAAACATTAGAAACAGTGTATACCTTTTTTGAGTATTTGTTTGGAGTCTTCTTTCCATGTAGAAGTAATGATTGATCATTTCTCTCTTTCTGATTAATAATGTTCCTTATTTTGCCTTTAGAAATTGGCTCTTCACAACATGTAAAAAGCATGCATTTCATATTTTTGAATTATGGAATTATTCATTCTACATTTCTCTTAGGAAAGTGTAAAACTATATTCTTCAATCTACAGCTTGTTTACATGCAACATTTTGAAAGAAGAATCCATTTTAGGTTCAAAGAATCCAAATTGTTCTAAAAGTGTGTAAACACCATCTTTATAGTTTCCCAGAATTCTTTTAAATGAAAACAAAGGTAAAAGGTGAATATTGTTTTAAAAGTGAGTCATACAGAAACATTAAACTTGCAATACTAAATTTTCTCAAAAAAATGAATGATACTTGGGATCCTGCAAGATGATATTGATGATCTGGTTCAGTTGGAACTGCAATAATCATGTTTTTTTTTTTTTTTTTTTTTTTTTTTTTTATGAATGCTTCCATTGGGAATCTGCAAAAGGAATCTTTCTTAAGTTTTGAGTGAAAATGTTTAATAAAGTTTTAGATTACAGTTCAAATGTGTTGAATGGTGAAATAAGCAGAAAGACTCAAACCTTGAATCTTCTTTAAGCTTTGAAAATTCAGATATCCCCATCCTTTGTTGTGATTATGTACTTTGTGGCTAACATGATGAAACGATGGCAATAAAATTGTTAAAATATTGTTGAATTAAATATAAAATATAACTTGATTAATCATATTAATATTTTATATGTTTCAGGTAGGAGATGTAGTAACACTTGACAATGAACCAGTGAAGTATTTTTCAGAATCTGTATTTTTTACAGAGAAGTATGAAGTTGTCTAGATTTGTTATGTGAAAAATTCATTCATTTTGTAGCTTTTCGTTGAAGAAACTGTGTGAGGAACTGTTTCTTATTTGTGTTGAACTCAAAATCTTGTTTGTATATCTAAAAATTATTGATTTCTTTATTATATACAAAATAAATATTATATTTTTCATTGTGTATTTGGGAGTCTTCAGTATTTAATATTGTTGCATTCTATGGGTTCATGGATTTGTAGTATTGCGACAAAACTTGATGAAGAATCAAAACATAATTTATTCACCAGTAATACACAGCACATTTCCAAAGACATGTTACAGTCATTGAAAAACAACAACAAACACTGTGGAACAATCAACAACACAGGCTATCAAGCTATAACAGTTAAGACAGCTTCAAAACAAGGCCTAAAGTACAACTCCCGACTCAATTTGGTCACTTCCCAAACTAATATCTGAACTCAAAACATTACTACTGAACTCAAGATACTCTGCAAACAGGTAGGGTATATATAGCTTTAATGTACCTTCGAGAACATTCCTGGGAAAACCAGCTAAGAATGTGTTCTAGAATGTTCTCTGTCCATCTATGGCTTATCACCATTTTTGTCACCCTATAGGTGATTTCGTGCCATATCTGACAAACCTAACCCGACTTTTTGCGTTTACTGCAGCTGGGCATTTCGTAACAATATTTAGTTGAAATAATATTTTTTAAAAATGTAACATTGTAAGGAAATTTTTTTCAGTATTAATTAAATTTCATACTTTTTCAAAATTGATGCTTGGTGTTCCTTGAACAAGTTTCATTAAAGATTTCCTGCAATTTTAAAAAAATTCAGAGGGGGAAAAAAGGGACATAAATGCATAAGATATGTATAACTATTAATCTATTTTATCTTTTGTTACCATTAAAATAACACAAAATTTCTTTTAACCCAAATCTCAAATTACCTGGGATGTACTGTATTTGCCGTCACATAAGATTCATTTTTCCCCCCTTTAAAAATAGGTCTAAAAAACGGAGTGCATCTTATACGTCAATACTCAATTTTTGATTACATTCATTTCTGGAAATGTCCTTTATTTGAAATTATGCGATTTTTTCTTGTTTCTTTGCGGAGTGTGGTAATATTACAGTTACTTAGAGTTCAGTGAGCATTGTCATTGACGATCACAGCTGGGTTCGTTTAAACTTTCCAATTTTTCTGAACAACTTTTAAGTGTGTGAAATTACTACTGTTCAATTTCCTTAAATTTGTTAGCAATTTATGGCTTTATAACATAGCATATGCCAACGTTGCTATAACATAGCATACAAGCTACATGTGATTGCATATGCTAAAGAACATGGAAACAGGGCTGAAGCGAGGCATTTCAGGCCACTCCCGACTGAGAAAATAATAAGAACTTGCTGGAATCGGGAAGAGGATAAAAAAAAAAAAAAAAAAAAAAAAAAAAAAACTCACCATAAACATAACCTATGAAGCGGAACAAGTGACTCTTTACTTAGCTCTGTAGATGAGTGTCTGAGTTTTGACGAAGAAGATTAAAAAATTGTCTTTCCCAGATAGACTGGGTATTTGCAGATAAACTGGGTATTTACTTTGTATTTAAAATACTCTAAATTCATTATAATGATCAGTAATAAAGTTTTATTCTTCAAAATATGTAGGAAAAAGGGGGTGTCTTATATGCCTGCAAATAAGGTAATCATACAAAAACCTGCATAACAGAAATGACAGTGAAAGAAATAGAAATAAAGGTACATCAAATTTGTATAAAATTAACTAAAGTTCAATTTTATATAAATGATTCATTGGATTTCCAAACAATATTTCTAAAAGTATCATATGCACAAAAATTTGATATACAGAAAGAAATGGAAACTCATGGAGTTTCCTCACTTGGCATGATTCCATTTCTTTTTGTTTATTGCACGTGTAATATTTAAAAAATACAGCATTTTGAAATCCATGACATTTGTGTATCCCATTCTGAAGGCTGCAGGGGATTACAAAATGCCATATTTTGCACTTATGTCCACATGCTTGATCACACGTGAAAATTTTGTTGCAACTATGGTCGAGAAGACCATTCATTATCTTTCCTCATAAACAGCACATAAGACAATTCACCTTTAATGACAAATATACAACTAATGGAATATTACTTACATGGCTGAATAGCAGTTCAAAAAGGAAATATAATAAATCTGTGATTGTGAACAGTTGCTTTCTTCAGTGCCATCTTAACATATGAAAACACTTCACAGGCATATAGTTTGACAACTTTATTATTTTTTGTAGAGTTAGTGTGGGCGAGTGCAGAGTTGCCAACTCTTTCAATTTATACAGAGGCTCCCGATTTCCGACTGTCCTCCTACCAATCCGATTTACAACATGCTTTTGCTGGCTTTATCTTAATCTTAAAATTTCTCGAGATTTTTATGTAGCTTGGCTTAATACTTCATTATTTGCACTTAGAAAAAGTTATTTTTGGCATCTGGAAGCACTTTGCTTTCCTTTAGATTACAGGTAAAAGAAAACCAAAGTCATCAGTAAGATAACGTATGCTTCTGCTTTTTTGGCGAGAGCACATATATCAGAAAATATCATGTTCCAGTTCTCCAATAAACATCAGTCGTTGCTGCAAGGTCATGCGACATATATTAGCCAGTGAGCACAAAGCAAGTTCATCTCACTATGTAGTGCTACAAGTTTCACGTGCTTTTGAGAAATAGTTTAAGAAAATGTGTTTTTTGTCGTGGTTATGTCTGCAAAAAATGTAAAATACACATGTACTTTTCAAAAATTTTACACAGTTGACATTCCTTCTATTACTTCATGAGGAAATATAATACATTTGCAATGTGTATTGTTTGTCATTGATATTTTTCTATTTTATGTGGTATTAAAAATGACTGCAATTGTTAAAGAAATGGATATGAAAAAAAAAATTAGCTATTGATTGCATTCAAATAGCACCATTTTGCCTCTTGAGGGATGGAAGCAATAATGCTGATGCAAAACTGTATTCAATTTTTGTTTCTTTGTTTGATTCAGAGTTTTTAGAAATTGAGTAATTTATTTTCTCTCCCCAACCTTTAAAAGGAGATTTAACAGGCTTTAATATGGCATGGCTAATTATTAAAACTTTAAAAGAAAATGCAATTTCTCTGCATAATTGCTTAGGACTTGGTGCTGACAATGCACCAGTAATGATAGGCTTTTAGACTGATGATCTTAAAAAAAAAAAAAAGGAAAACTCAGATTTGCAAATTGTAATGATCATTTGTCACATCTTAAATTCAACAGCTGAAAAAGGGACAGCTTCTTTACCAATAAATGTGTGAGTGGATGCATTGGCAGTATTTATTAGTATCTCGAAAAGAGTTCTAAATGGAAGAAAAAATTGAAGCAATGCCAACAGTTACATAAATATTGAAATAAAGAAGATTTGAAATAGGTATGGACATGCATTTTATTTTATCAGAGAAATATTTATCTAGGAGCTTCAACTAACAGAACCTACATCTTACATGTTTTAAGGGGAGAAGTAAATGCTTTTAGAATTAAGGTAAAAGGAGCTATCAAAAAATATAAAATACCTAAGTAAATGCAGATGTAGTTACTACTTCTACTGTTAAAAAAGGAATTTCTGCACTTGTGAGCAATTTAATTGGCAATTCTAAAAGTAATACTATAAAATATAAGTATAAAACATACAAAGTTCTCTCAAAATAAAAAAAATGCCTGGCAAGGGAAACATTATTTGATTACTCCTAAATTTATTTTGAGAAAAACGAATATTTATATAGGATGTTAACAACTTTGCCGGCTAAAGCTGCAGATGTTTCTGCTGTAGCAAGTGGATCTTTTTTCTGATACGAGATATTTTTTGAATAGATATCCAGTTTCGGTTTTGGAACACTGGATATCCAGTTTTAGTTTTGGAAGATAATGATATTGATGTTGCAATTGATAAATTGCAGTTTTGCATTTTACAATTAGAAAACTTGGATAAACTTATAAAACCAGCAAGTATTGACACACAATGGGATTTAATTGGAAAACTCAAGAGGTGCTGAGATATAAATAATAAAAAAATCTTTTTTACTATTTGCATTTCAGAATTAGTAACTGAACTTTCAGGTATTAATTAGTTATTATTAAAAGTTAATACATTATTAAAAATATTTTTTTCTATATTTTTATCATTTAAAAAATATTTCTGTCATTGAGAAAATTCTCCTAATTTTTGGGTGTCATAGGTTGGCAAGTATGTAAGTGCCTCAAAACACTGCATATACTTGAGGGCCTAGGATTCTGTTTGGTCTTAAGTATAAATGAAATGAAGCTTTGAAATAATGTCCAAAGCAGTAGCATTATATCATAGGGATTGTAAATGAGGAAAATTTGGTCAGGAACTGTTACTCCTGCAATCAGACAGCACTGTTCTGTGCTTTATGCAGATGAATTGAGTTTCCACAAGAAGGCAGCAATAGTTTTACTCATTTATGATTTTACTAGATTTGATATTTCCTAGCAAAATTGTTGATTGGAATTTCTGTAGATCGTTGTTATGACTTCTAAAGAACTGATACTCAGATTTGTGTGTTGATTAATAAGCATTATCAGATGATTTCAAAAGCCTAAAACAAAAATAAAAAATTAGATCCTTTATTTTATTTTTTATTTGTGTTGTATTAGCTTTGCTCCATGTCTAAAATATTGCAACTAAATAAACATCTCTAAAATCAAGCAAATTTATCTTCTTTAGATCACTGTATTAAAAGCTGCTTTTTCCTCCCTATATAGTAGCCTTAGACTGAAAAGTTTGTGAAAAATTCATATAAAGTAGGAAAAAAAGATATATATATATAACATGTTACAAACATACATGAAAAGTATGTAAAAAAAAAAAAAATACTAACATTATTTTTCTGTTTTAATTTGGCTATTTCTCCTTTCCATTTTTTTCATAAAACTGGTAATGCAGATAATTTGGAAACTGGAACTCGGAATTGTAAACTAAATCCCGTATCCTTTTATCTCTTTTTACCGAGTTTCATAATATTAGAAGTTAATTTTTGATATATTTGATGTGTTGTTGCCATGAAATTATTATGAAGCATGATACCTAAGTAAAGTAATGGTTTTACTATTGCTATTCTATCTTGT